ACGGAAGGGAGAAAGGCAGGGAAAATAAACCACGAATCTCTTCTTCAGCACACTCGGCTTTCCCTGGAGACTTGTGTTTAAAGCTCAGGGATCAGAGTAAAACTACGTTTTAGACATTACCTCTCGGAAACGCCCTGGTGGGGAATGGAGCTAGTTTGAAAGTTCATTTTTGATTGGCTGAGTACTCGCCGTTTACACACAAAGTCAATTTAAGTTATCTTGATTTTTTATATGAAATATTTAAATCCCCAAGTGTGGTCGGTTTATCACGTGTATATGTCAAAGATAATGACTTTGTGAATGAAAAGTCACAGTGTACTTTCAGCTGAAACTGCTGGCGTCCAATTTGACTCAGTTGTTCACGACGTGTTTACATTAAAAACATCAGGTTCCAAACATTCTTGTCACGTGATCCAAACATCAGCAAATGCAGTCGACTTACTGAGACAGTCGCAGTTCTGTTACTGACTGTCAGAGCACAAAGTGTGTATGTTCTTATATTGAAGACATTATATTGGATATATATATATATATATATATATATATATATATATATATATATATATATATATATTTATTTTCTTTCTTGTGTTGACGTCACTTCTGTTGCGGAAATAAACACCAATCGAAAAGAATATGAAGATCTCCTGTCATTCGCGTCAAGGAAATGGACTCAGTGTGTCTGCAGCTCAGTTGCGGCTTAATAATGTTCGGGACCGAAGGAACGCCGCTACACTGACAGTTTGGTAGATACTAAAATACATAAGAACATATAGCCCAAATAAATCATGCATCCACTGTGCAAGCAGCTTGGATCAGGGATAAAGGTTCTCATCAAAGATAGACAACTAAGAGCTTAGTATTAACAGCCTATTTGATGAAATATGCACATAATAAAGTGTAAAAATTAGGGTTTGTCATCTCCATCAAATCCCATTATTATTCTGTGCCAGAGGGAGCGAGTCATTCAGTCGCAGAGCTATAAATGTGTTGCTCTTTCTGCTATTCTTCATGCGGATGGTGAGCCTGTAGCAATGCAGCTGCAAATTTACCTAAAAGGAATTCTGAGAAACGTTTATAAAGAAAGGCAAGTGCAGTAAAGGAAAAGCCCCCGAGGGGAGGGTCGAATGGTTGAAGAGGCCGCGGAGACCTTTTGTTCTTTATGAAGCCGTAAAACAAAAGGCTGCTCTCTTCATCCCGTCGTCCCAATGACCTTCTTCGGATCGCCGGCCCTCTGAAAAGGTCCGAGAAGTGTATGTTTGTACAGAGCAGACACATGCAGACACATGCGACCACCAGCCGGCCAATCATCTGCCTCGAGCTCCAGGGTTTCGTGATTGACGTAACCGAATAAATCTCCTCGTTTGGATACGCTGTGACGGGAATTAATTACCAGGCAATTGTGTCTAACATATTAATTTAGAGGAGATTATACAATGCATTAGCCCGGCACTTATTAAGCGCGGTTATGTACGCCCGCGTTTGTGTATTGAAAGCGCACAGGCGGAAAATTCAGTCCAATTTGCCCCGCTTAGCTCCTGTTAACACACGGCCGCTACGTCCTTGCTTCCTCCGCTCCTGTTGCATCTCGGTTCCATCAAATTATGTAGATAACGTTCTGCTCATTTTAAAAAGCACACACACACACACACACACACACACACACACACACACACACACACACACACACACACACACACACACACACACACACACACACACACACACCATCTGGCTTCATAAATCGTGACTCAGTGTTTCCCATGAAGGTCCGTCAGCACAGAGAGATGCTGCGACACCGTGAGTCGCTGTTCACGTGCACCTTTTCCCTCAAGGCACACACACACACACACACACACACACACACACACACTCACCCACTTACCTACACACACGCGCACACACACTCAGCTGAGGAAAGGTTGAGTTTATTTTTTTCTTTCTACCTGGATGCATTCGCCAGCATCACACCATGAACAAAAGCTCAAACAAATGGCCAAAATATAAAATAATAATAATAAATGCGTCTGTCCCGTCGTCCCGTGTTTCTGCTCCTTCTAACGAACAGAGTTTCTCCACGTGATTTATTTAAATTCTTAATAATCTAAATGTTTTTACTCCAGCTGACCTGAAGCCAGATCATCAAAATCAAAACCCACAGCGGAGACCGCCGTACATGCCGCGGATTCTCCTCCCAGAGCGCGTGTGATCCGTGTGTGTGGTGCGTGTGTGTGTGTGTGTGTGTGTGTGTGTGTGTGTGTGTGCGTGATGGAGTTTGGGGGCTGATCACTTCCACATGCTGCTGTGTGGAGACCTGAGTGTTTGTGTCCAGAGTTTGTTTCCAGTCTGACTCATGAGATGATGGCTGCGTTTTGAAGTGTGTGCATCCTCAAAGCCGCACGATGAAGAACAACACAATTAGAAGCCCCATCGGACGACAACATCGTGAAACAATCCGCCGACGGGGGGGGGGGGCGTCGAAAAACCGACTAGAGCTCGATGATGTTGGGTGGTCTGTTGCTCCGAAGCAAAGATGCAGTCGCAGGAGGTCAGACGGGCCCGACGCCTCCAGACAGGAGGAGGGTCAGCGGGGGGGGGGATAAGAGGTCAGAGGTCAGCTGGGTCACATGGAGCCTGCTCCATACACGCCCCATCAGACGGGCGGCAGCAGGGTGACGATTGATGGTCAGTGGAATCATATCATATACAACAAAGTAAGATATCTTCATGTTTATCATAAAAAATGAAGCCTTCTAAATAAATCAATCAAACTATCCGTTTGTTCCATTTGCAATTTTGGTCTTCATCAAATTGGAAAAGAAACTGTAATGTTTTTAATTCACACGGAAGTCTCCTGTTTCATAAGGACTATTTATTGATATACATATTGTTATTGTGATATGCAGTTATATTCTATATCTTGGGAGAAGATTCTGACCAGTTTGTTGGATGTTGGACTGTTGATTCAAATGTCAATGAAGCCGACAGTCGGCTGCTGAAGAACTGATTCACACAGCGAGACGGCCAAGTACAGAATTAAAAATAGACAATATAGTTCAGACATGGAGCTTTATTTT